CGGCGCAACGATGAATGGCAGCGTCTCTCAAAACGGAGCTTCCGCCTGATTCGCGGGCACATGGGGCGCTCGTTTCTCAAGGGGAGAGCTCCACGCAATGCCAGATCATGTGCGGGGCTCATAGGGAGGGAGCCTGGGGCGGGAAGGTGCATTGCAGCATCGTTGATGCATGTTGGGTTTCCTCTGGCTCCCCCCACTCATCCCTCCTCATAGCTCCTCCTCCTCCTCCTTCTCCTCCTCCTCATGATCCTCATCCTCGACACCCCTGCCCTCCCTGTCGAGCTGACAGCGCCGGGCCCGCTGCTGCATGGCCGTGGCGTGTAGGAGTCCTCGGAGGGGTGTAGCGACCTCGGCGCCGTGGTCCTCCTCCTCCTCCTCCTCCTCCTCCTCCTCCTCCTTCTCTTCCTCATCCTCCTCCACCTCCTCCTCCTCCTCCTTTTCCTCCTCCTCCCACTCCTCACTCCTCACTCGAAACTCCTCACTCACTCCTCCTGATCACTCCTCGCTCCTGCTCCTCCTCACTCCTCCTCACTCCTGCTCCTCCTGTTCCTCCTCCTCCCGACGTCCCGTCCACCGTCCTTCGCGCCTGGCTCCCGGAGCCGAGGTCCCTGCCTCCTGCCTCGCGCTCGAGGCCTGTGCGACGTGTTCTACGCTTGGAACGGACCTTTGGCCCCTGTGCTACACAGTCGTCGCGTTGACCTAAGGAACCCTAGATAAGGAACGAGGCCCCTTTTTCCCGTAAGTTCAACTTCGACTTCCCAGGGAAAACCTCAGGCAAACCTCAGGCAAACTTTGCAACAATCAAGGCACACCGAGCCCCTCCCCAGCGAAAAGGGTTCCTTCTTCAGCGCCCCGACTGTATACCGGCTGGCCTGCCAGGGCGGACCACTCGATGAGCGTGAGGTGGCGTGGACCTCCTCCCGCCTCGGCGAGAGCCACGAGACACCCCGCGAGGGCGCCTCTGCGATGCTGGCACTCCATGTGCTCGCGTCTGGGCGGGGCGGGTGGTGGAGCTGGCTCGGGAGGAGGGCGCCGTAGAACGGATCCCGGATGCCCGTGGCCGACACGACATTTGTTTTTTGTTTCTCGCTTCAACCTCTGAAAGTTTCAACACCACTGGGGAGGCGACCCAGAGGTGAGGGTTTTGGTACAGCTGAGGGGGAGACCCCTCAGCAGACGCACGTTTGGCGCAAAAACACCAGCTCCTTGGACGGCATTGCGACCAGGGAGCTAGTCTCCGTCCCTCAAAGGGGGGAGGACAGCCGACACGACAACAGCACGAGCTGGTAAGAAGAGCGAGGTGGGCCCTCGAGCTGGTGGCAGAGTCCGAAGAGAAAGGCGCAAGGGACCAGCTAGAGACGCCCCTCCCCCGTGCCGCCAAGTCCACGCGCCTTGCGATGGCGGCTGCGGATTACTCAGAAGGGAAAAAAACACAGACACAATTGATCGTCGATTCCCCCGAAAATCTGGGAAAGTATGGGAAGTGGGGGGGAAGACGGAAACCCCAGAAATATGGGAAACTATGCGGAATCTGTTCATTTGTGTGCATTGATTTGTGTGTCCTGGGGCCCCCTTCAATTATGGCCGCCCCCACGAGTAATCGTCGATTCCCCAGAAAATCTGGGAAAATATGGGAAGTGGGGGGGGAAGACGAAAACCCCCAAAATATTGGAAAATATGGGGAATCTTGTTACATGTGTGTGTGTGTGTGTCTTTATTTGTGTCCTGGGGCCCCTTCGATCATGGCCGCCCCTCCTCGAGCCCGAGGGGCCCCGCACGCTGGCAGCGCCGCGGCCCGCCGGCGGACCCGGCCGCCGCGCTTCTGAGCTGCGGCCGGGGGCTGCTTCTCGCGCCGGCCGCAGCGGCGAGCGGCGTGGCGGCCACTCCTCCTCCTCCTCCTCCTCCTCCTCCTCCTCCTCCTCCTCCTCCTCCCGCATTCCTCTCGCTGCTCCTCCAATCCTCCTCCACCTCCTCCTCCTCCTCCTCCTCCTCATCCTCCTCCCATTTCCGTCGAGAGCCGAGGCCTCCAGAATTGGTTGCTCCTACTCGCTTCCCCTCGCTGCTCTCTTCTCGTGCCGGCCGCAGCGGCGAGCAGCTTGGCGGGACGTGTCCATCCAACCCACCACGCGCACTGGGGAGGTAGTTCTGAAGGGGCCCAAGGACACACAAATAAAGAGACACAAATAGAAGGATTCCCCTATTTTCCCACATTTCCTGGGTTTCTGCCTTCCCCCCACTTTCCATATGTTTCAATATTTTCTGATAAATCGACGATTCATTGTGTCTGTGTGTTTTTGTCCCTCCTGAGGCATGGTGGGACGTGTCCATCCAACCCATCACGCGCACTGGGGAGATAGTTCGGGCCTGTCCCCCTACAGGGGGAGTTTGGACGACAAATAAAACATACCCAACAAATGATCAAAAGATGCCTCAGAAATGCTCAGAAAACAGTCCCCAGACTATGTTTTACTATTTTTGAATATTCCCCCTGTAGAGGGACAGGCCCGACGTAAGGCTGGGGGTTGCTTCGCGCCAGACGCAGCGGCAAGCGGCATGGCGGGACGTGTCCATCCAACCCATCACGCGCACTGGGGAGATACAGGCGGCCTTGATTGGACAGGACACGCGAGAGGACACAAGACCCTTCCGAGGGCCATATCGCCATGGAAGTGCGAGAAGGCACGTGTCGCGAGGCACAGGACACAAGGGTACCCTTGAGCTAGCAGGGTCGACCTACTAATCCGGGCCGACTGTAGTTTGCTCACGTGGTGCTACCAGCGGTTGGCCCCAGGAGCCTCGTCGGAGCTTGCAAGGGGGGGACCCCGAAGGGCACGGAGCACCTCGCGAGGCTCAAAAACGGCCTCGACCCCCGGAGAGAGGGGCCAGATTCCTACTCTTCTTCCCCCTCCTCCTCCTCCTCCTCCGCCTCCTCCTCCTCCTCCTCCTCCTCCTCCTCCTCCTCCTCCTCCCGCCCTTCCTCTTCAGGCTCAGCATGATGTGACGGCCTCGGACGCCAGCGTTGCGGACTCGCGCGGAGCCTGCGCTCCCAGTTGCGCGCCAGCCTGGCCGGGGGGTCCCCCGAGAGGTCGCCGGCAGGGCCCCCTCGAGCCCCCCGGTGAGCCGGGAGAGGCCGCTCCTCGTCCCAGGGGCAGGCGCCCGGCGCAGGCCCGCGGTGGCATCGAGGTGTGCCCGTCTGGGGATCTGGGACGCCCGGGGATCCGCGGTGGCATCGAGGTGCGCCCGCCCGCGGTGGCAGGCCCGCGGTGGCATCGAGGTGTGCCCGTCTGGGGATCTGGTGGCATCGAGGTGGCACTCCGGGGATTTGGACGCCCGGAAAGGGCACGGAAACAATGGGCACAATGCCCAACAGCAAATGTCGTCCCGAACCAATAGAGGCCGCTGTTGGGCAGACGGCCTTCTGTCTCGAATGGACACAGGCCGCGGCGGCGCGGACGGCGAGCCCTGTCCAAAATGAACAGGAACTGTTGTTGGGCATTGTACCCAAAGTCTCAAAAATAGTAAAAAAACAGTCCCCAGACTATTTGTTTTGACTATTGTTGAGTATTCCCCCTGTAGAGGGACAGGCCCGACTTAATCCCAGGAGCAGGCGCCCGGCGCAAGCCCGTAGTGGCATCGAGGCGTGCCCGTCTGGCCCCCCACTCCGGGGAGGCCGACGGGCGCCTCGGTGGAGCAAGGGGCTGCGCCGTGCCCCAGGCAGATGCTCCCCGGCTCCTCGTGCTCCCTCCTCCTCCTCCTCCTCCTCCTCCTCCTCCTCCTCCTCCTCCTCCTCCCTTGCCCATCGCCCCCGCCCTCCTGTCCCACGGAGCTGCTGCTGCTGCTGCTGCTGCTGCTGCTCCTCCTCCTCCTCCTCCTCCTCCTCCTCCACCTCCTCCTCCTCCTCCTCCTCCTCCTCCTCCTCCTCCTCTGTTTGTTGAGCGCATGTTGTTCGGAGAGGGACAAGGAAAGCTGAGGGGACGACCAGCTGGCAGGCCACAAGCCACATCTCCAGGCATCATACGAACGTGAGCGAATGTAACGAACTGGCGACACTGTGTGCCAGGGCGCGTAGTAGAGACATAGAAATATAGAGGAACCTAGATTCACGAGCAGTGGTCCGAGACTCGAGGATCTTAACCACGGTGAGCAGTCGAATCGCACAAAATGCAACAACACCAGGACCTGATACACTATGCTCGAAGCCGCTGGCGGGAGCGAGCGAGGTCACAGGAAGAAGCAGCGGACAGGTGGGGCGGAGGAAAGAGGAGCAGGGCAGTTTTTCCCTCGTCCTCCCCAGTCTCCTCCTCCTCCTCCTCCCTACTGCTCTTCCTCCTCACTCCTGGTCCTGCTCAACAGCCCCTCCCTTCCACTCGAAAGGTGTAGGCTCCCGAGGCCATGATCCCACGACGTCGAGAAGACAAACTCACGCCGAGGCCAGCCGGCAGCGCCTGCCGTGCACCAGAGCAGATCGGTGGCGGCCCGTCTCCCCACGTACAGGGCCCGTCGCGAGGAAGCCCTCGATATACGTGCGGCTGCAGGAGGCACCGAAACGGTAAATACCGGGGCTCCAATGGCACCGAGGACCACCGAAATGTCAGGGAGACACAAGACTCGGGTACGGGGGACTCGGGTTGGCCTAACGGGGCCATAATGAAAATGACGAGGCCCAATCTGAAATTTGACGCGAGCTCCCGCTGCAAACATCCCACGAAAACGGGACCGTCAAAATCCAGGACGCGCTCGTCAAAAAACATTGGCAAACCTGAGTTCCGGCTTACTCGAGTCTTACGTTCCCCCGAAAATGGCACAGAGCGGTGCACACTGCGCTCGGCGGCACCAGGACGGCACTCTGCTGCGCAAAATGGCGGCCTTCGCCCCCAGAGCAGGAGCAGCACGCGCGGTGCAAGTGTGGGAGGCCGAGGCCACGCCCAAATCCGCAGACACCCGTCGACGGCGAAGCGCTGCTCATCTTTCGCAAGGGGAGAAGCCGCTGAGGGGGCGTCGGAATGTTGATCTCGCTCCTAAACTCCAGGATCTGGCGCCTGCGGGCGCGGGAGGAGCTGCGGCACGCCCGTCCGGCGCGCAAGGGAAGGATGGGGTGCTGGAGCGCGAGCTGGCGCACTTCTGAACCATGGATCCTTCTACAGCCATTCATCATTGTGCTCTCCTCGCCACCCGTCAATTTCTGGCGGCAAGACATTGCGCACGGCCCACCTCATTAACGTCAGCTTGCTTGCAGTCGTCGCTGGATTCTCACCACGCGAGAAGTGTGAGATGGTCACGCCCGCTGTACGCACCTCGTTTTCACAACGCCCGGCACAAATCTGCCGACCCCCGCTTGTCGGGGGTGCTATGAGGCGCGTGAGACACTTGGCTGTCCCCCTCCCCCTGTCCCCTGGGGTCCAAAATCCCATTAGAGGGGAAGGGAGGGGAAGCGGCCCGGAGCTGGCCTCAGGAGGGGGGTGGCGGGCCCAGGGGGACACGAGCTCGCCAGCGCACCCCCTGGAGCCTCCAGAATCCCCAGATCCTCACTCCGTGGCCTCAGATATGACCCAGATGCCATTTCAGCTGGGCTCAAGCTAGGCTCGAGCACGCCGAAGAGGCCTCAGAAATCTCAAAGACTGCCTCAAGATGGCCACAGAGGCCTCCCGAACGCCCCAAGAGGTATCCAAGAGAACTCCAGAAAGGGCCCAAGAGACACACATCACACCAACCCCTGAGGAAGACGTATATTTCCAACATATTCGCTTTCTTAGTGTCAGCAGCGTCCAAGACGGCCCCAGAGGCTCCCAGTATCGCTCCAAGACGGGCCGGCACGCTCCAAAAAGGAGCCCAATATGGCCCAAGGGGGCCTCGAGATGGCCCAAGAGAGGTATTTCGCACTGACGTGTAGAGCCCTCTGAACCCCCAGCGGGCGCTTGAGAGAGCCCTCATAGGCCCTCAAAGGTCTCCAAGAGGCTCAACAAAAAAACACAGAGGCCCCCAAACAATCCCAAGCAGCCCAGGACGCCCCCCAGACGGCCCCAAGACGGGGCCCTGAGGGTAAACCTGAAGAGATATTTCGAAACTCCCACCTCACTAAAGCACCAAAAGCCCAATCGCGATTTCCGAGGCACCCCCGAACAGGCCCTACGAACTCCCCATGATGCCCCACAAAGGCCCCCAAGAAGGCCCGACTCGCCCCCCCAAAGGCCACTATTCTCCTCCTCCTCCTCCTCCTCCTCTCCCAAGAAGTCCAGAATCCTCCTCCCCCTCCTCTCATGCGGCAGATATGAAAGGGGACGAACTCGACCTTCGAGACACCGAAAAAAGCCCAGCAGGAATTATTCAAATTGACACTTCCAATCCTCCCTAGAGAACACCCGAGACAGCCAGCGGCTGCCCACGAGACCACCAAGACGCCCCGAAGCGCGTCGAAGACGCGCTCAACACGCCCCCAGCATAGAATCCTACGAAACCCCACAATGCCTCACCTGGGCACGTACTCTCTCTTCTGGGTCGGCGGATGGCGTAGGTCTCTGGAATACTCCTGGCTGACAACTCGGCATTCGCCCAGTACTTCTCTGCAGCGCCGAATGATGAACGGTGAGCACCGAGTGTTGAATTGCACCCGTGCGCCAGAACACCCTTAACAGCACACGTAGTGAAACATCTCATGCTGTACCCTCTGCTGCACATGAAGGGGCCCTACGGGGGACCATGCGACCCAGCATACGGGAAGCCATACAAAATAGCAGAAGCGGGGACCGTAGGGGAAAACAGTTCGAAAGGCAGACTGAAAACCGCCCGGGATAACATACGAGAGACCACACGGGAGACCACACGGGAGACACTACGGGTGAACAGACGGGACACCATTACGGGAGGCAAGACGGGCGACCATACAAGAAGCAGCACGGGACGACGCGCGGGATACTACCCCGGATGCCGTACGGGAACACATATGGGCGAGCATGCGGGAGACCATGCGGGAGACCGCGCGGGAGACCGCGAACCACCGATCCCGAATCTGGAGGGGACTCACACCTAGCCTTCGAACAATTCTATGTTACCCTTGCAGACAAGCTGATGGGCGAATCGGCGCCGATGACATATGAGCTGCGGGCAAGGGTAGCGCTCAACTGGCAAGCGCACGGTGCATACCGCTTGTGAGGCCAAACTGTCGGCACCCGAAAAGAAGAGGAGGAGGAGGGGGGAGGGGAAAATGGGGGAAGGGGGTGTTGGGAGGGGGAGGAGGATAAAGATGAGGGTGAAGAGGACAACTGGCTGATCCACCAGGGTGTCGAACATAATTGCGAGGGCCCGCTGTCAAAATGCTGGGGGCAATAGTGGACGACAATAACAAACTGTGGTCATGGCGGCGATGTCGACGTGGACGACGGCGATCGTGGATAACAACATTGATGACGGCGGCGATGATGGCCAGAACATATTGGGGCGAAGAACTCGAAATTTCGGTTCATGCTCCCCCTCTCCGTCTTTAACGCCTCTTGGGCCGAATTGGGCGCCCCGGGGGCCGTCATGGAGCCTTGTTGGGCCGTCCCGGGGCCCCCCTGGGGGCCCCTTGGCCTTGACGCGGTGCTGTCGGAAACTCGAAAAGTGAGGACCACAAAAACATTGAATTTGCTGGGTGAAAAACTCAACCATATGCAACTGTGACTACCGCAGCTGTAGGTATCTGTTCGGTGGAGCTCTCTGTGGACCACGGAACGCTGTACTGGGTGGGCGAAATGCACGCGGGCTGCGACAGTGGGACCTTCGATGGAACTCAATATGGGGCCACAAAACGCTGTACTGGGTGGGCGAGACGCATGCGGACTGCGCCACTGGGGCTTTCGGTGGAGCTCCCTATGGGGCAACGAAACGCTGCACTGGGCCTGGGAGACGCACGCGGGCAGCGCCACTGGGGCCTTCGGTGGAGTTCTCTACGGGGCTACGAAACGCCGTGCTGGAAGTGGGCGACGCATGCGGGCTGCGCCACTGGAGCCTTCAATGGTTCTCCGTATGGGGCCACGAAGCGCTGCGCTGGGTGGGGGAAGCGCATGCGGGCTGCGCCACTGGAGCCTTCGGTGGAGCTCCCCATGGGGCCACGAAGCGCTGTACTCGGTGGGGGAGACGCATGCGGGCTGCGCCGCTGGGACCTCAAGTGGAGCTCCCTGTGGGGCCGCGGAACGCTGTACTGGGTGTGCGAGAGGTGGCGATGACGATGACGATGATGATGATGATGATGATGATGATGATGATGATGATGATGATGATGATGATGATGATGATGATCGTTTTCTCAGCGGGCCAATGATGGCACCCAGGACAATCGATGAACGGAGAGTCGTTGAGTGTCAGCAAATTACGCTTCAGCAGGTCAGCCACAGTCTTAAATGCATATAAATGCACGCGCACCGCTAGGGCCTCGGGCGCCAACGAGACCAAACCACCGCAACGGGTGGACGCCAAGGGGAGCAGCAGGCAGCAGCAGGGAGGGAGGACGAGGAGGGGACCGATCGATCGATCAAGGCAACAAAAAATCAGCTAAGCTTGCCACCAGAGAATTACAAGGGCGGCTGGTATGAACGACCCATTGCGGCAGCGGGGCGAGGAGTCTCGAACATGTCCCGACCTCGCGCTCGGGCAAATCAGAGAGGCCGAGGCGAGCCAACGAGGATGGCTCAGCCTAGTCGCATTCAGCTGAGCTGCGCTGGCCTCGTCGGCAGATGGGGCCGGCGCTCCGCGCAGGCGACCGCGGAGAGCAAGGCCGACGACCCACAGAACAAAGACACTGCAACGGTAAAACCCAAAGCAGCTGGAGCGGGCACCAAGGGGCTCACCTAATACGGCAACTGCTTTTCTTGGAGAAGAGAAATCAGAGACGACCGAATTCGGGGAGATCAGCAGCGGCACACCTGCGCACGCGATCGGCGGGAGGGGCGGCGGCGGGGCGGCCGCGGGGGGGCGCTCTCTATCACTGACTCTTGCAGCAGAGAGAGAGGCTGGGCGGACCTCCAAATCGCCGCAAGCTCCACTGGGGCGGCGGCGGCTGCGCAGGCAGAGAGAGGGGAGGACAGGAGGACAGAGGCGGCAGCCAAAACCGGAACACATGATGGAAGAGATGACGGCCATGCGCAGCTGCGTCCATCACGCGAAACAAACGACGCAGAGTCTGATCCTCCGCCAAAACACAGATTTCGGCTAACTGCCACTCGCAGAAGATATCATCGGCACGCCAGACAGAGAGGGCCACGGGGCGGCGGGCACAGGATATCGATGAAAGCTCGAGAGATGAAGGCCAATTGAATGAAACAAGTAGCAGACACTCCCTCTGAGCCAGCGGCGGCGGCAGAGAGCAACAAAGAGGCAGAGAGAGGCGCGCGCCGCGACGCCAACATAGGACGGCGCCGACGGGCCGACAGAACCGCGAACGCTGTCGAGGAACGGCGCCAACGCACCGAGAACAGAGCACCGACTGAGAACGAGTCCGCGACCCGATCAGGACGGAAAAGCGAAACAGCAGCGCAGAGCAGCTGCGCCCAGGAACTTACCCGAGAGAGTTCCGAACGTGTCGGGCGGCCGCTCGGATCGGGGGGCGCCGTAGCGCGAGCATGCGCAGCCGACCCTCCAAGACCTCATCAGGGGAGATCGTCGCCGACGCAAGACGCAAGCGAAGCTGCAGTGCGCATGCGCGGAACACTCGGCGAATGCACAGAGGACAATGTCACGCTCGGTGCCAGGGGCACGGCCGTCAACGCAGTAGAGGACAAGTAGCGGGGCGGAAAGGCCAAGAGGGAAGAGGGGGGGAGCCAAAGACGAGAGGAAGCCCAAGACTTTAGGGCAGTGCCGATAGTGGGAGATGTCGTCACTGCCTACGCGGCAGCCGAAGAGACAACCCCGAGGCTGAGCATGAAACAGAGCAGCCGCCCAGACTCCTCGACAGAGGATCCTTAAAACAGCGACCACGAGAAACGTCGAACCCGAATAACAGACGCGATCCATACGAATTTGGAGAGAAGGGAACCAGACCGCATGAGGAATGGGGAAAAGGAACCAC